TGTCATTTTTATCCTTACAACAATAACCTGAGGAAGGAGATGCCACTGTTATTTCATTTCTCAAATGAGGAAACTGAGGTAGACAAAGGTTAAATGACTTGCCCAGGGTCAGTCAGTCAAGTAACATTTATTAAATGCCTACTATGTGCATTCTTGGTGATTCCTTGTTTGCAATAGGGAAAAAGTTCTGATAGGAGAGAAGATACACAATTTTTATGCTCTGGAATCCATGTTCACTTCTTAATTCAACTGATTTTGAAATTCAGATGACCAAGCTTGTCTCAGAGGGATGAGAGTAGCTCAGACTGTGGCTTTGGCAGCTGATGTTTCAGAGACAGGCACATCCAGGGACAAGGATCATTTAGAGAAACAGAGACCGTAATCAGCACTTCCCTGAATCCATGGCTCTGTGATAGTGATAGAATCAGAGTCCAGCATTGTGGGCAAGCCCTTCATTCTTGAGTAGAGATAGGAACAAAGATCTATGAAGAGAAATGATCCAAAATTTCTCACACTGCCAGATATTTTACATCTCACTAAGATGGTGACCTGAGAGAAAATTGCTTATCTAGCCATCTTCTTCTTTCTCCACAACTTGTTTTCAGTCTATGTCCCTGAGACAGTGTCAGATATATCCTTGTGCCTTTCCCATGAGCCATCGGTACATGTGGTTAAAATGTACTCTAGACACTCTTGAAAATCTAGTTGGGCAATTGCGGGTGTGTGTATGTGTGCGTGTGTGTGTGTGTACTCAAAGAAAGACACTCCCTGCCCTCAAGAAGTTTATATTCTAAAGGGAGATGACTATGCATAAAAGGATGCTGCATCCTTATGGGAGAAGTGGTGGGAGAGGGTACCTAAGCACAAGTATGGTGGAGAAAGATATACAGAGATTTAGGAGTAGAGCACAGAAAGGAATGAAGACATACATGACTTGGATGCTTTCCTTAAAAGGGAGGTTCTGAGAGGAGCCAGTTAATCACAGGAAGAGCCACAAGGGTGGAATGTCCTTCCAGTATAGTCAAGTCAACAAGAACGTATTAAGTATTTACTATGTGCCAGGTATGGTCCTAAACTGGGAATACAAATAAAAGTAAATAAGGCAGTCCTTGCCCTGAAGGAGCTTATGTTCTTGGGGAAAAGGGGAAGGAAGAGAAATACAGCATCTAAAGGAAAGCTGAAAAGTGGGAGGGGGAATACTTGTGTAGGGTCATGTTAGGAAAAGATGTTCGGAATGTTGAGAGTAGAGCTGAAGGAGAAGTAAAGATGACTAGTTTAGGCACCATCTTAATAGGAAGGTTCTGGGAGGAACTGACCAATCAGAGGAAGGCGTTCTCCTGATGTGAGAAGGTCACTGGAACCTAGTAAAGAAAGAAGGCCAAAGATTCATGATTAAAACTAGGAGAGAAATAAGCCATGAGTTGAGAGAGAAAACCACAGAGCAGGTGGTTGGTTTTTTTTTTTAATACATTTTAAACAATATTCTGCTTCTTCTCTTTGTTGATTTTGGAGTTCACTGAGGGAGTGAGTGGAGTCAGTACCACTACCAAAACATGGACTTGGCTCTGGGGACAGTAGTTCTGACATTTGCAGGCTAATCGTTATTAATGATCAAATGGCCAGTGAAATACTGTAACCTCTTAGGAAAACTATGTCATTTAAGGATAGGAGAGAAACTGAAAAAGGCTTTGGGATGATGACCAATGACTCACTTTCACCACCATGTGGTGGACATTTAAAATATTGCACTCACTTGATGCACAACTAATATAGTAACAAGCTGTCATCTAGTAGTAAGGCAACCCTTGAGCCATACAGTCAGAGGCCCCAGGGGGAGGGGACCATGTCACAGTTGTCACATAATATTATTTCTTTTTTCCTTTTCTTAAATCATGCTCTTTTTGTCAGTTAACTATGTAGATAATTTTTCCTAGAGATGAAAAATCAAAAGGACAAGGGAGAAAGAGAATAAACATTTATTAAGTGCCTACTTTGTGCCAAGCACTGTGCAAAATGTTTTGGGTTTTTTTTTTTTTTTTACAAAGATTACATTTGATCTTCACAACAACTCTGTGAGAAAGGTACTATTATTATCTCCATTTCACAAGTGAGGGAACTGAGGCAGGCAGAGGTTAAGTTCTTTGCCCAGAGTCCTACAACTAGAAAGTGTCTGAGGGCAGATTTGAACACAGATCTTCTTGACTTCAAGGCATGCACTCTATCCACTGTGCTACCTCACTGTCAAAAGAGTAATGATGACAGTTTACGAATATCCATATATCTATGTCGTTTATATTTATGCCTTTCTATGTATCTAACTACATCTATGTCTCTATGTCTCTTTCTGTCTATCTATTTTTAGCATGTTATGGTAGAAAGTACACTAGACTTGGAATTAAAAGACCTGGTTTCAGCTCCAGCTTTGACACTTATTAGCCTTGTGCTATTGAATAAGTCACTTTACTTCTTTGAGATTCACTTTCCTCATTTATAAAATGAAGATAATATATTCATAAAGAAAATAATTTTTGAAAACAAGCTGTAAAATTAAAATACTGTTATTATCAAGGTTAGATAAGCATACTTATGTGAAGGATTATGTCAGCCTTTCTTTATTTCCACTCAGAAGAGAAAATCATAGAGCTAGGTGACACGGTGGATAGAGTGATGGATTTGGGGAGACCCGAGTTCAAATTTGGCCTCAGACACTGACTAGCTGTGTGATCTTGGGTGAGACATTTAACCTCTGCTTGCCTTAGTTTCCTTAACTGTAAAGTAGGGATGTTAATAGCACCTATCCCACAAGGTTGTTGTGAAAATTAAATTAAACAAAATATTTGTAAAGTGCCTATGGTATAGTAGCTGTTATATGCCTATTTCTTTTCTCTTGGTTTCCCCTACCTCATAGAATGAGTAATTTAGGGCTAAGCACAGATATTTGGACTTAGGTATAAAATAAGGATTTACTCAATTGAGTCGAATTTTGGTTGTGAGAGGCAGCATGATGTTGAAGGTCACAAGCTATCCTTAGTCTCTAAGACCTAGGTTCAAATCCTCTGATACATGCTGACTGTGTGGACAAGTTCCCTAACCTCTCAGGGTACCAGGCAACTGTCTAAGAATATAAAAGTTTCAGAGAAAATGCTGACCTGAACTGTCAGAAGATTTTTTTCTAACTGAGGAAATCATAGATCCAGTCTCTATCCAAAGTTTTGGTTGGAAATGATGGAGTTTTTGTTGACAAGGCAAAGGGTGGCATCTTTTGTAGAGTTTGAAAACACATCAGATCCTCCTCTTTGGGATAGAATGATTGGCTTGCTCAGTGATGGACACCTTCTTGAAGTCATTTCTGACTATCATTTTACATTCCTCCCTTCTATACACTATGATGCCCCAGCTCAACTGCCCACTTGCTTTTCTCTTTACATGCCATTCCATCTCTTATCTCCATGCCTTTGCAAGGTTCTTTCCCATGCCTGGGATGCCCTTCTTCCTCAGCTGTGCCTGAGATCTCTTCTTGAGTCAGTGTAGGCACAATTGCTACATGAGGACTTTCCTGATACCTCTAATTGTTAATACTCCCTCCCTTTGGAAATTATTGTGTATTTCTTTGTATAGTTAGGTTCAAGTTATAAAATGTAATTTTCATTTTTTGTATCCCTCAAACCAAGCACAGTATCATGCACATAGGAGATCCTTGCTAAATGCTTGTTTAATTGAATCCCCCATGCATTTCTTATTGGCCTATAGAAGTACTTCTATTATTCTCCATTTTTTTCACTCTTTTCTTTTGAAAGTTACTGAAAGAACCTAGAACTGTTTTCTTTTCCTGAAACACAGGGGTCAAAATGTTCTTTCTTCCTGAGAGTACTACAATTATTCTTGTTACGTTTGTGCAATACCAAGGAAAGGTGGAACTTCTAGGCTTTAGGTTTCAATGGCTTCTGAATAAAGAATCTAGGGTTTGGAAAGATACAGTTACCCAACATTCTAATTGCCATGATAATGCAAGAGAGGTAGTATGGGGTTTAGCATGCATGTGTGGGGAACATTTTGTATAGGAATTTGTTTCTGCCTCATGGAAAGTGTACTTTTGTTTTCCTGGTCCATCTGAATGGTATGTTCCAGGAAGAAGAAGAGACCTCGGGGACATGGGGCTTTACTTTGTGTCAGGACATGGTCATTTGGGTAGACAGTTAACAAACATTTCTTAAGCACTTAAAATGTTCCAGGAACATTATACCTAAGCTATGGGGTTACAGCTCCTCCTAAATTGGTGGTTATCTGTGATAGCAAGAGGATTGTAATAGTTCTTGTCAATTGAGGGAGTGATCTGAAAACATTTATTAAATACCTACTACATTCCAGGCTCCATGCTAGACTTTCAAGATATAAAGACAAAGAATAACACAATCCAGGCATTTACTTCAACCTTTTATCCTGGAAATCCTCTTAAATGGTATAAGGACAGAATGGTTTTGGGAAGACTGAAGGCCAGACAATATTGGATCCATTCAGATTGGCCCTTGCTTTGTGGTAGCATATATATATCACATATAAATAAAACAGTCCAAAAATGGTTCTCCTGGGGAGACTAATGGGGGGTGGGTCTGAAAAAAAATCAGAATCACAAAGTTGGTTTTCCTTCAGCATGCAAGGACTGTATACCTCAGAAGATATTTGCCTTTTTTATTTTTGGGGGGTCCCACTAGCTTTAATCTTTACTTTGTTTATTAATAGGGAAGCATATAACTCTGACGAGGACCTTATTGTTTTCATTTTATGTGCCCAAATGTCATACTAAGTGGCTATTAATTAACTTGTACTCAAAGTAAACTTCTTCCACAAAACAATAGCAACCACAAAAATGTAACAATACACAGGATATTTGCGATTAAGGGGATCCATGTGGATGTGTCACTTTTTATTAGTTAATTTAAAATAATCTGACATAAATTTGTCTTTTAAGTGTTCTCACGAGGCTAACCTGTCTTTTTTAGGTCACTGAAATGATCTTGGAAGTAGCTCTTGATGTCTGGTAAGTGTTTTCTTTAATTTAAAGGAAAGTATTTCAAATCATTGATTTGCTTAAAATTTAAATCAACATCTTATATACATTTTTATTGCTTAGGAATGGATTAACTTAGCTTTTAATATTTCAAAATGGGCTCCTAATTTATTTGTGTCCCCTCCCCCCAATACAGCATGGCTCTTTTTGACCCTGAATAGTTCTGTGATTAAAAAAAATGAATTTGAATTGGATGTTTATGGTTGGCTTAGTAACTGCTTGGTGGCCAAGTGAATTGTGACTTCTCAAAATGTGGTCTTTGGAGCCAGTCCAAAAACCAAGTCACACATAAATGGATGTGTATTTTCCATTGCAAAGTTGAGGCCATATGAAAAAATACAGGTGTGAACAGAGAGATTAGGTGGCCCATGAGGCCTTGTGCTACACCAAATTAGCTTGGAGATCAAAAAGTCAGAGGACCAGAATTACAAGTTCATGAAGTAAATTCTGGTAGAGTAGGCCTTGACTTCACTAATACTATGATCTGGGTCTAGTGCTCATTCTAGCAAAGCACTGAGAGTGTGCTATGTGGATTCTTTTTGGGTATGAATTGGCCACTGAATTTCCTTCCTATTCTCAGAATTATGAGAAATCATTATTTGCTCAGTCTTTCATAAATAGAGAATAGATAAATAGCCCTCTTTATTTAAATATCTTACTAAATAGTTTAACCTTGTTTTTTTGGTTTTCAGTTGTTCTAAGGTATGTCAATGGTCATACATTCATTCTCACAGTGTATTGTTCAAAGACATTCCTTTTTCTTTACTAAGCTTCATCATTTGATCAGCATGAGGATTTAATTTAAAACTTGTTTTTATAAATCTCCATACTGCATGAATAGTCAGTTAGTCAGTATCAAGCACATACTGTGTGTTAAGCACTGTCCTAGACAACTGGTAGTGAAGTGGATAGAGCTTTGGACCTGGAGTGAAGAAAACTTGAGTTCAAATCTGGTCTCATGCCTTTCCTAGCTGTGTGACCCTGGGCAAGTTACTTAACCTTTGTTGGCCATAGTTTCCTCAACTGTAAAATGGAGATAATAAGAACATTTACCTTGCAGGGGTGTTGTAAGGATCAAATGAGATAAAAAGCACTTATCTCAGTTCTTGGTACATAGTTGGCACCATATAAGTGCTTAGTCTCTTCTCCTCTTCAAGAAACAGGGAAAGGCAAAAACAGCCACAGACTGTCAAGGAATTTATATTCTGGTGGAGGACATGTAAGTAATTAAGTCCATGTAAGATACATACAGAGTAAATGGAAGGCAATCAGAGCATTGCAGGGTGGGGTGGGGTAGGAAGAGTTATAATCTCTTTATAATAAATCAGAGTCACATAGAGTTGGAAGGATCCTTAAAGGCTATGTAGTCCAACTCCCTAATAGAGAAATGAAGTCCTCAGTTGTTAAGTGAATTGCTTAAGGCCCCACAGGTGGTAAGCATCAGACACAGAACTTGACCCAGGTTTTATCTGATTCTGGAGTCTATACTCTTTGCATTCTACAATGGTGCCAGAGAAGGAGGGTCACTGTCTTTTCCATTTTGGGTATGTGTAATGCCATTTCTTGGAGAATGAAAACCACTCCATTATCTTTGCCAAGAAAACTCCAAATGGGGTTATGAAGAATCAGACGTGACTGAAATGACTGAACAACAACAAATACCATTTCTGAATAAGCCCCCATTTCAGTATTCAGTATTAGATGGTCACATCTAATCCCTGTGTTTTGCTTTGCTTTATCTTAGTTCTTAGGCAAGGCCAACCAAAAGACAAGTCTATCCCCTTGATCTCACTCTCAAGGCCAGTCATAGGATAGCAGTTGAGAAAGTCTCTGCCTTCTCTCTCTAGAAGAACAACAAATGACCTCCATTGCCAAAGATAGGCCTTTTGTGAACCAACGTAATTATATGTTTTGGATACTATAAATGTCTCTGGGAAATGGCCGGTATTCAGAAAGAAATAAGGGAATAACCATTTATATAGTGCCTACTATATGACCTGCCCAGGGTTACACATCCCGGAAATGTTAGAACTAGGATTTGAAACCAGGCTCCTGGCTTTTGAAGCCTAACGTTCCACCACAGTGTGCCACCTTTCCAGCGTGGTAATATTCCAGATATATTATTGCTAAATATACTGAAGACTGTTAGTGCCAGGAAGGTTCTTAGAGATCAGTTTGTCTAATACCCTCATTTTAAAGTTAAGGAAATTATGTCTTGGAGTTGAAGTGATTTTCTTGATGTCGCCTAGCTAGTAACTGGCATAGTAAGAACTCAGGCTCCAAGTCCAGATTGTCACCATTGTAGTACACTCCCCTGCTTCTTAGCAACTCATCTGAAAATTCAAAAGAGTCTAAGAATCTCCCAGCTAGCTAGACATAGTCATTGAACAGATTATAACAACTAAGACTCTTCATTCTCATAATTTTTAAACATTTGAAAATAAAATGATGTATTAATCAATATAACTCATTTTTTTAAATAAAAAAGAAATTAATTATTAAGCACTGTATGAGAGGCAATGTGGTATAGTAGATAGAGTGCCAGACAGAGAACCAGGAAGACCTGGGTTTAAGTCCTGCCTCTGACACACACTAGCTGTGTGTACCTGGGCAAGTCACTTAACCTGACAACTTAAACTAAGCAACTCTCCAATAGTAGAGGGTTGCAGAGAAGATTGGCGCTGACTTGCATTGGTAAAGGCATTTCCTCATGTGATAATACCTTGTACTAATGAAATTCCAGGTCAGTCCATTGTCCATTACCAATGTATAAGAGCTATAGTTCAGACAGAAAAAGTAATAACTTTATTAATATAGTGGTTTACCATTTCCACAGCATTTTCATATGTTATCTTATTTGATACAAAAACCCTATGACATTCACATGACAGGTTATTATCTCTATGCTATAGATCAAGAAACTGAGACTTAGAGAAATGTAACTTGAATGAGGTCATATAGCAAATTTGAGGCAGAATGGGAACCTAAGTCTAATTTTCCTGACTTATATTTCTGCTGTGCTCATGTGGTCTTCCATCAAGCAGACTTGAGTCTTGGTGTGCCTCAAGACATGCCTGCCTTACTTTGCCCCCTGGCTTATTCCTAAAATTCTACCATTAGAGTTCAACTTCTTTGAAGCCCATTAAAATGTAAATGTCTCAGAGCAGGATATACTTTAACACTTCAAGCTGTTATTTAGTCACTGAATTTTTGATCCTTTCCAAAGAGTGAAACTTGAGAGGGGGCAGAGAGTGTGTGGTTACTGGGCATCAGTGGGTATCGAGAAGTTATATAAAATGGAGGTGGCAGGGCAACAAAGACAAATCACTTTGCTTTTGTCCAAAGGCTGTGGTATTCATGACCTTATCTGTTTTACATACTAGCTCTTCTCCCGACCTTCGATTTAGCATGGCTCTGTGTGATCAGGAAAAAAATTTCAGACAACAGCGAAAAGAAAACATCAAAGAAAATATGAAGAAACTCTTGGGTCCAAAGAAAAGTGAAGGCCTGTGTTCACCAAGTGATGTGAGTTGGAACATTTAAACTAAGTACTGATATCTTTAAGAGGTTTAAATACGTTCATCATTGGAAATGTTCTCCAGAATTTTCACTCTAGGATGACAGTGACGTAGATGAAGAACATGATCTCTCTAGTGCTTTGAACTAAGTGTAGACACTTTTTCAGTGGAAACTATTTCATTTGGCAATCTTGAAATTAGTAAACATAAGGATGGGTACAGGTCATTGGTACAGGGCACTCTCAAGTAAGGAAATTCCCTCTACTCATGCAGGTCAGCACTTTTTTTATAGTCTTAGAGATTTTTCCAGAGCACTGAAAGTGATTTGTCCAGGGTTGCGCAGCCAGTGTGTATCAAAGGTGAGGCTTAAACCCTGGTCTTTCTGGTTTGAAATGCAGCCAGTTGTCTGGCCAATAGCTATACCTCTAAAGGAAGCATTTTGTTGTTGTCATTCAGTCATGTTCAACTTTTCATGACCCCATTTGGGGCTTTCTTGGCAAAGTTACTGGAGTGGTTTGTCATTTCTTTCTCCAGCTCATTTTACAGATGAGGAAATTGAGACAAACAGGGTAAAGTGACTTGCCCAGGGTCACACAGCTAATAAGTGTCTGAGGTCAGATTTGAACTCAGGAAGATAAGCCTTCCTTCAGGCCCAGCACTCTATTCACTGCATCACTTAGGGGCCCCATTAAAGGAAGTGTCTCTTTGAACAAATGCAGGGAAGTCTTAGTGCAGTTTTAAGTTACTAATGCTTAAATTGCACTAAGACTTTTGAAACATCCTGCCTAGGACCCAACTTACATATTGGAAAACAGCAATAGATAAAATGGAAATGTCTAAATACGCAAGCAAGCCTTTTAATCTATTTTAGCATATTATAGAGGGAAAGCCAGAGGCTTTCTATTTTTTTAGGCCTCATAGTAATTCATAAGAAAGGCCTTTATTCTCCCACAATAAAACTCAATAAAAACTCAGTATTAGTATTACCGTCTGCGTTTTTCAGATGAGAAAGCAGGCTCGGAGAGGTGTTTACTTGACCATAACTCTAGAGCTAGTGATGATTAGAGTGAGGATTCAAACCCAAGCTTCTTATTTCAGTGTCCAGAGCTGTTTCACTAGGTGACACCATCTTTCACTTTCATATATCTTTCCCTTTAACAGGACTTTGTCTCTTCTCAGGAGTAAACAAATATTTGTGATTTTTTTCCTTCTTTGCCCTTTAGCAATTAAATACATGTACTATAGAGTCATTTTCTGAAATTGTTTTAAGTTTAAAAAAATTACTACTAGGAGTGGCACCTGCATTCCAGACTTTGTTATGTATAGTGACCCTAGGTATTACCTAATTCTGATCTAGTGAAAAGGTTTAAAAATAAAACTATTAGTGTCCAAAGGAAGTAGCGTAGAGTTTAGTGTTATAGGAAGTTCTCTTCTCTGGTCCTGGGAGTCAGTGTAAGAAGCTTTATTTAATTTTGTTTATAAAATGCCTACTTTTAGGGGCAGCTAGGTGGTGCAGTGGATAGAACACTGACCCTGGAGTCAGGAGGACCTGAGTTCAAATGTCCCTCTCAGACACTTGACACTTTCTAGCTGTGTAACCTTGGGAAAGTCACTTAGCCCTGATTGCCTTACCGAAAAAAAAAATACCTACTTTTAGAAGTTGAAACAGAGTGTCAGAGCTAGAAGTAGCCTTTAGAAATCATCCAATCTAAATCCCTCACTTTATGGAGCAGTATGGTACAGCAAATGGGCATTGACTCTGACATTAGAGGACCTGAGTTCAAATCTTGTCTCTGATGTTCATTCCCTGTACGACCTTGAGTAAGTAAGTTAACTGCCCTTAACCTGAGTCCTGGAGGAGATGGAATGCCATGTACAGGTAATAACAAGAAGGTCAGTTTGACTAAACCAAGGCCAAAAGTAAAGGAAGTAGGGAAGCATAAGTTTGGAAAGGTAGGCTAGAAATAGATTAAGAAGGGCTTTAAAGGCCAAACAGAGGAGTTCGTATTTTTTCCTAGATTTAATAGGAAGCCCTATTAAAAGTAGTTGCTGCTATTAAAAATGCTGCCATAAATATTTTGGTTTACATGGAGCCTTTTTTTTTTTTTTAGTTCCCAGTCATTGGCATTCTTGAAGCAGAGAAACACTAGTCCATACCTCTTATTTTGTGTGTCTTTATTTAAAAAAGCAAGTTGCTGGAAAAGAAAATAGTATTTTCTAAACTAAATTCTTGTCACTTTTACCCTCAAGGCCTAGCATTGTGAGTCATAATTATGTCTCCTAGGCTCAAATTCTCAGTTCCTTACAGGCCTCTTATCTAAGGTTTTGGCCAATGTTCCACTCGAATCATAATATATCTTTGGTAGAACTAAAAACAAAACAACAAACAAAACACATTTTACTGTGGAAATGAGGATCCTGCTTTACACAAAACATAATTTCTATTTAGTAGGGGAAAATTAGCTGTCTCATATAGCTCATGCTTAGTCAGAGTTTAGTGCATTCAACATTCAACAGTACCTGTGGTATGAATTATGTTTTTCTGTCTCCAGTACACACCGAGAGTCTCTAGCATTTGTGTATTTGGAAGGGGTTGCTGGAATGGAACCTTTTTTTTTCTTTTTTGGATCTAGACTACTTATTTTATTTGCCAAAAATGTTGACTATAGACGTAGTCAGCACTACCTATTACCAGAATGAGAGTAACATGTTTTTATTTTATGGTAACTATTATAAAATAATCACGTAATACTTTTGCATATTATAAAATATAATTAAAATGTAATTTAATTCATATATATTCATTGTTTCATTTTTCTTCCCAGGGTAGAGATGGAGAGGGCATTGTATTCTTATGACAGTTTGCCAACTTGCATTTTGGGGAATATTTGTCCTTATGGAGAATGTTTCTATCTCATTGCTCTTATGTCATGGCTTTCTCCCAGTGCAGAGTGGACACAGAGTAAAAAACGTTACTGTCTGAGACACTTGAGGCATTATTTGTTCTGAATAGCCAAGTTTATTCAGTACATGTAAATTCCCTTTTTTTAAGAAGCAAAGTACTTTCTATTTTAACTATTTGGGATTGAAACATCTAAAAAATTATACATTTCCCTGCTTTTCAAAACAGCATATATTTAGCAAAATTTAAACCTTTTCTGAGTTATTCAAGATTATCAGTATTAAAATAAAAAGAACATATGATCTTATCTTTGAATGTATTTTATATTTTTTAAAGTTTTTTATGCTTTTATGTTTTTTATGGATTTTTGATTTCCTCCTTCGATATGATACTGTCATTTCTTGCTTTTCTCAGTTTACCTGCCTAGATAGCACCCCCTTTCCCAGATTTGAATTAAGTAACATATTAGAAATGTGTATAAAATAAAAATAAATTGTGTCAGAGCTGAGGGTCTAAATTACTCTAAGTGATATGCATGCTTTTTGTGCATGGATTTCATGATTTCACTTTTGGTGGCCTCCATACTTTATTTACTGTCCTGTCCTCAGTTTGAAATTGATAGCATTACCATTAACCAAATTCCAGATAGATAAAATGCTAGTGTACTTCCTAAAGGAGACAATTAGGCATTTATTAACTTATTATGACAGAAATAATCCTGTGTTTTGTGAGAAAGTCAAGAAGAGAAGAAAAGGATTTATTTTCCCCCCTTTTCATGCCTCAGAAATGTGTTTGGCTTCTCCCTAAGAAGAAGGAATCATTTATTCAGTAAATACTTTCAACAGATAAACAATTACTGTTTGCTCTTTTAAAAAAATTAAACTTCCTTTTTTATTATTGTTAATAGTCAGCAAATAAAAACATCTAATATACATAGAATAAGAAAGAGATGTGAATAAGAAAGAACTATTTTGTACAGTTTGTTTTTAAAAAATATATGTGTGCATGTATGTTAAGGGATACATACATACTCACACACATACACTCACACACACACACATATATATACACACACACATATACATATATAATTTACCAAGATTATAACAAAAGTGCTCTATATATGTCCCTGTATTCACTTTTTAATTTTCTTTTTATTGATTTTTTGGGCATATCTGTAACAAGTATGTATAGTCCAACAAAACAAATTAACTCAGTGGTCATATCTGAGAATGCTCATTTTGCATATTTAGCCCATTAGAGCATTTTTGTTGTTGCTCTTTTTAAATTGTCATAATCTATGCATATACTACTAAGAAGTCAACAGTAGAAGAGAGTCTTTAGAACATAAAATATACTCATCAAACCTGAGCCAATATCTTTAAACAAGACCAAGCAAACAGTATAGCCGTGAATCTGTAGGTTTTCAAGCCATGAATCTTTATAGTTTATTGTAATAAAGAGAAGTGAGTAGATATTGTAGAGAGGTAATTTTTATTCAGTGAAGCAAAAATTCCCCGTCAGGAAGTGAAATCAGATGCCCAACTGGTTCATCATCACTGAAGGTCTTCAAGTAGAGGCTGGTGGCAGTTTGTTAAGATACTAGAAAAGGGATTTGTTAAGATACTAGAAAAGAGATTTCTCTTCAGAACTAGATGACTTCTGAATGACCTTCCTAACATGGAACTTCTGTGATTTTACCAATAATTGATTAAGTAATTAATAATAATAAGTAATAATAATAAGTAAGACCCAGTCACTTTAATTGTGTTACAGTTTTGATTGAGTAGACCTGTGCTAGAAAATGGCAAGATGTATACTACTCACAGACAAGAGTATTTAAAATATTGTGATCTCATGCTGGCTAATAGAATGATAGTAGGAATAATAGATAGAAGGGATAATATCTGATTGGAAGCAACAACTTGTTTTTTGGATGTCAGTAGAAATACATATATGTTTTAAATGAATGAATTTGTTAATATAATTGTTTTCTATATTTATGCCTCAAGTAGAGTTTTTGACAAGAACAGTTTTATATTCAGAAAATACTTTTAAGACAATTGAAATCCTTCTTGAATATACCTCCCAATGTTTACTGGTCT